ACAGGCTGAGCCACGGCTGGAGACGTTGGCTCCGTGCTTTGAACAGCCTTGAGGGCGTGAGCACGACCCTTGGATTTGCGCTTCACGCTGCTCGTGAATCCACACACCATTGCTGCAAATCGAGCAAGGCAAAAAGTCAGAAGTGCCAAAGTACAAAATTGAGACAAGGCAAAGCTCGACCTACCAAGTTCGGAGTTTGGCCTTGAAGCTTCAATCGGGTGCACCAGGGGTTGTAGTCTAACAACCCAGATTCCAGAAGCAGTTTGTCGGTCACCAAAGTTCCGATCTCCGACCCCTTGGGAAGCGATCCTTGTAATACTTGAGGGTGTCGAAAGAGGCTTGTGTGAGTTCGGGAATCGGTTTGATCGACACTGCACAAGACAGAAAAGATTCAAGTTAGACATAAAAAAGTTAGAATAGAAAGATTTAAAGATGTAAACATAGCAACCTCATACCTAGGTTCCCAAACCTAACAGGCACGTCATAGAAGGGACGACATGATTCGTCCTTTGCCAGCCATTCACCTGAGACAAAGAACCACTTCCCTACCCATCCTTTGATGGAGGTCGGCCCCTTGACTATACCACTCGCGCCTTTCCTCGCGCACATGTAATACTGACCTGGTTTTTTAGCTATCCTCTTAGTCTCAAAGCACCCAAGAAGCTGGTCAACATTTAGTAGCTCGGCCTCGTCCTCATCCTAAGCTCGCAACCAAAAAATAATGGCTAAGGCAAAAATGACACCTCATCCATTGGGGGCCACTTGAGCAGGAGCCAGACCAGTTCGATTTAGGAATTCCTGGGCAAAGGGGTGAAGAGGAAGTCTGAGGCCGTACTCAAACATTTTTAAGTAAAGAGTGACCCACCTCTCTGGAGGGTTGTCAGCTCTTTCCCCTTCCTCCGGAATCCTAAGGAGGATGTCCTTAGGAATTTTAAACCCCCTACGGAGGGGTCCGAATAATGCTCGGGCATTTTCGAAGGGTATTCCAAACCCTGGCCCGAGGTGAAAGTATCACTATCCTCTTCATCATCCGAAAACCTAAAGTTTTATATATCTTCCAGCTCGGACTCTAACCTAAGAGCTAGGGCCTCCCCAAAATCACTTAGTTTGGGGAGCGAACTACTTACAGTCCGACCTGCGCTGCCTAGGCTATCACTACTGGAAGGGGAAGACAAGAAAACTACCATATTTGAAAGAAAAATAAAAACAAGGAAAAGTGACTAACCTACGAAAGGGTTTGAGCTGGTTTCAGATCGAACTCCAGAAATTCAGGGAACGTAAGGTTTGACCTGAAGTCTCAGAACTATTTATAGCTAATCGAAAAATCCTCTGCGTCGTACACGTGTAATGAACGAGCGGCTAGGATCATCTCGAGATCCGTAACGACGGAACACTTGAGTATTCCGACAGCCTGACAGATTGAAACGTCTTTCTCAATGGTCATATTCTCTCTACGAATTAGAAGTCGCCACGTGTCCAAAATCAAGTCGGATGAACTTCTCTGCCAGGTCGAGATCGAACCTGACAGAGAGGGGCCAATGTTTGGGGGTAAAAATACCTTGGACACGTGGAGGACGCTTATTGGTGCTTAGGAATTAAAGTTTCCCAGCTCCACCTCGAACCTGCCGAAGAGGTTGGATTCGTCCATGGGGAAAAGGTTAAGTGTACATGCCGAAGTTCGATCTGATGGAGGTCCGACCTACTCGAAACCCGACAGGTCCGATATGGGAAAAAACATGTAACCGCCAATCGTGAGTACTGTCGGATCCCCCACCTATAAATAGAGGGCCCCATTTCACGCTCAGGTATGAAATCTCACCTCGAACTAAATACGGAATCTGACCTATAATGACTTGAGCGKCGGAGTGTTTACTCTCTTGTGCAGGTCCACTCTTGTGTTCAGGTCGAACCGGAGACCGGGTTCGAACTTGGTTCGTGAAGTATTGTTGTGCAAACCTTTGCGTAAACAATTATTATTATTCTATGTCAATTATTCAATAGATGAATAGCATGAGTGCATATATTGAAATTATATAGCTTACATTGGGGTGTGGTGGATATTAAAACTCAAATTACACCAAATTTGAAGGCCATTGCAACTTGTTTTCTTCCATATTGCACAATTCTTGCCCTAAAAAGACATTTGAGTCCTTTCTCTTCTCATCATCCATCTTCATCTCTTCATTATCCATGTTCTTACTATTCTATAATTAGTCTAAAATCTCTGTCCTTATTAGCAATAATTATATTTAGAATCTTGAAGGTGCTTCGACCAACTTATATAGCTTCATATATGTTACGTGGACTTGTTAATAAATGTAATGTTATAATGTCTAATGTATAATCCTTTATACTTTCTCTCGGGTGTAAACTTGATTAGAGGGTTGAAGAGCTTGTTCTCATATCAAGTAGATCGGTCTCTTCAGCTTCTAGCTTGTTGAAAAATCTTTTAGGTCTTCGACTTCAAACTTGTTGAAGATCTTTGAGGTCTTCGGTTTTAAGCTTGTTGAAAATCCTTGAGGTCTTCGACTTTAAACTTGTTGAAGATCTTTGAGGTCTTCGACTTATTAACTTGATGAACTCTTCTGCTTGTGACTTGACGAAGTTCTTGGCTTGCAGCTTGATGAAGCCTTTGACTTATAACTTGATGAAATTCTTCGATTTATAGCTTGATAAATTGGCTTTGAGCTTGTTGAAGACGGAAAGAATATTCAATTCTTGAAGTCTCGTAGTCTTCAAGTCTTTGTAGAATCTTCTTTATGAGTCTTTTGAATTTCCTTCGAAGTACTTGTAGAAGATTCTAAAATCTGTTGGCTCTAAATTCAACCTCTTGTGCAAGACTCAATGAGATGTGACCTCCTCTTTTTTATAGAGTCTTAACACATTTTGTATGAGCTTTCTTTTTAATGGGCTTATCCCCAAATAAATTGATCCAATTAGTTGATGTCATAGAGTTATTAGAAAGACACCTAACATAATTTGATTTGATAATTTAAAAATCAATTTAAGATATATGTAAATTTGTGATTAATTATAAATATAATTTTGAAATAATGACCTAACACCCAATAATTAACCAAAATTTATCATTTCACAATTATTTTACCTTTCTAAAGATTTGACAGGAAAAAGCACCCAGTCAAAGTAAGTGTCTCAAACAACTTGAACTTCTTGCCAAGAACGGTAATTTAATTCCAAAGGTATTAAATCATCTAGAAAGTAGATATTATTGCAGCCCTCCGAGTTATTTCTTAAAATATAAAACCTTTTCTAAATCCATATATTATTATTTATACAACATATATTATAATTGTTAAGTAAAATTAAACTCAATAAAAATCATAGTTTTTGTTTTCTTGAAACAGTAAAAATATTAAAACCACGAAAAAACAATTAATTTCAAATTAGTCACTATCTAATCAAAATCAATCAAACTCATAAAATCTTACAAAATTTCTAACAAAATCAAACTAGTCATTAAATATCCAATTTTATATTTTATCAAATCGAACAATTACATGTTATTAATCTCGATTCAAATAATTTAATCTTTCTTTTTTATAATTGTGTTTTATATTTCCACGCACTCTTCTATTTTATCCCTTATAATATAATATAGAACATTTAATGTGAATTAATGATCTAATTAAGATGGTAATCCGTGCATGGCACGTGCAATGTCCAGCTCAATTAAATTCAGACAGCGACTTTCGTGATATATAGGTGGGAAAATAGCTTCTTCCATTTAATGTCCTCTCATCCCCCACTACCTAACTCTATAATCTAAACTTTTTTTTTTCTTTTTTCCCATCAAAATTCAACTATTTATAATAGTTAATTGATATTATATTTATTGGTATTCAATGTATCAAAACTAATTACCTAACTTAATTTATTTCTACGTGTAAATATGACAAAATTTATGTTTAAAATTAAATGACTGATTTAAAACGTCTATAGTTTGATATTTTTGGCAATTGAATAATAAAAATCTAGAGTAAATTTCTTTTTTTTTTCTTTTCCTTTTTACCCCCTTTTGGCTTAGCGTCAATTTTAACATTAAATTAATTTCATTCAGTTAGAACTTTTGAATTTGAAAATGTTGTTTACCTGATCACTTGGTTGAATTTTCATTAAGAGAAAAAAAAAATATAGCTTGTGGATGGATACTTCTTTAACTGAGTTTAATCCTTTTTTACTTTTTTACCTATTTGATTGGTTACTTTTATTTTTACTATTTCTTTTTTCAATATCCTGCTTATATTTTGTATTATTTATTGGGTCATCCAGAGTTTATTTCTTCAAACGTTGGTTAATTTGTGGATAGTTTTATAATTTGATTTTAAAACAAGGTTTGTATCAATTTCATTAAATAAAAAATTCAACGTTAAGATTGACATTTTTTAACCGAAAAACTTTTATTATGAAATTCTTTACTATTACAATTTAAATACTCTAGAGACAGTGTTTGTCTCGAAAATAATTGCATGGATGGAGGTGGAATTATCAATTTTTAAAATGGTAATAATTGTATTACCCATCGACTCGAGATATCGATTTTAGACAATTAAATAAGAGACATAATTTATTTTTTTATATATTATAATCCCCAAATATATTCAGCTGCGGAATCTCAATTCCCAACCCCACCCACTGGGTTGTCTTCGCCATCTTCAGAGTTCTAGAGAGAGAGAAAAAATGGAGGAAGATGGAGTTCTAGAGAGAGAGAAGTGGTACCAGGGGCTAATAAGAGGCCACTGGAAAACAAGAAACTACGAGAAGCTGAACCGGCCATCGAGAAGCAGGAGGCGCCGAGCCCGGGTGGAGCTCGGTTCGAACCGGAAGAGGGGCGGCCGGTTCTGGCGGATCAAGATCTCCCAAAATCTCCGGTTCTTCCGGTCCATACCTTCCCCCAAAAAACTCCTCCTCCGCCTCCGCGATGCCTACGTCAGAATGATGCTCGGATTCGCCAACTCCCGGGTCTTCTCCGCCGCCCCCGTCCCCGACGGCATTGCCGGCTTCGGACGCCGGCCGGTCAAGGAATACGACGACAAGATGATCCTCGAGATCTACAAATCGATGGTGGCGGCCCAGCGGCAGTTCGTGAACTGCACCGCCGCCGGAGGACCGGAGACGGAAACCGCTGTCTCCAGGTGAAAATTCTTGTTTTTTTTTTCAATTTGGTCCCGAATTGTTTAAAAAATTTTAATTTAATCCCTCGTTTTTTTAAAAAAAAAATTATACTATTTTTATCGATGAAGGTAAAACGTAAAATTGAGTGTATTAGTAAAAAATTATTAACTATTTAAAGAAGAAATTTAAAATATGCAACTTTTTAGAAATGTGGGGAAAGAATTAGAAATTTTTCTTTTTGCTGAATGTTTTGCATTTATGTTTAGCCTATTTTAACCTTTACCGGTAAAAATGAAAATGATTAAAAAATAAGGGACTGAATTTTCGATTTTTACCACGAAAGACTAAATTGAAAAATAAAAAACATATATTTAGTTTAGGGGATTTGGATTTAGACTCTTGTAATTAAACAAATTGCTTCTTATTTCTTATTTCTTTTAAATTTTATTTAATTTAGAAGAATGGCGATGTTGTTGTAATCTTGATTATCTTCTAAATGGGGAATAATGAGGATTCTTTTTTCTAATATTAAATAAAGTTTGATTAAGCTTGTTGTTAATTAAATGGTTAATATCTGTCTTCTAAATATGATTGTTTTTTATGATTTAAATATGTGGAAGCTTGGAGTATTTGGGGTTTGCAATTCAATTTAGACTTTGCCTTTGACTTTTGAGCACTTTTAAAAATTATTTCAGTTTTATTTGGAATTAAATTACAAGAAAGAACATGTACTTGGAATGCATGGTTAGCATCCATCTTAAGATTTGTGAATTGAATTGGAATAAAATACCTTAGTCAATATTATTATTGAATCGGGTCCATTAAAGTCCAATTAGACTCAAATTCAGCAACTAGATAAGCCCAACTTTGAAAATTAAATCTATGACCCAATTGATAACCGTTGATTCGTTAGGTTAAATTTTGGACTGGGCCTAAATTCATTATTTGAATCAAATTTTAGGTGAGGCCCTAAATTCAATCTTGAATGACTCATTTAAAATTACTTTTTATTTCTAAACCAAATTTTATTGAGCCCTGTTTATAGGAATCGGAATGAATTCATTTGATGTTGTTTACAAAAATTTTCTCAAAATCGGAATCGAAATTAGAGATATGACAATTACTAGTATATCGTTTTTCTCTTTCTAATTAGTTACAAATAAATTATTGTACTAATCTTTGTTTTAATTACAATAATAATGTATTTTATTTTATTAATATATTTATTGATAGTAAATATTTTTTATTATAATAATTTTTTATATTAATAAATAATAAATAATTAAAATAAAATTACATCAACTAAAATATTTTTTTAATTAGAACAACTATCGTATAAATATTATTAAATTTTATTATCTAATATTTAATAACAACGAACTCTACTTTTAAAATTCTATTGATATTAATTAATAATAACAAAGTAAATTTTAAAATTAAATATAAAATTATAATATTTTATAATAAAACCACATTAAATAATAAAAGTAATAGTTGTATAAATTTTTAGTAGAAAAAAAATTATTAGTAGTATAAATGAAAAATAAATAATAAAAGTATAAAACTATTAATAAAAAAATTAGGAGTCATTTTTAGATAAGAGAGAAAGGGTAAATAAAATAAAATAATAATTTAAATAACCCACGAAATAAGAAATGAAAATTGAATTGATGATGGTGCGAGAGAGGACTGGGATTCACCGTTTAATTTCATTCCTACAAATTCGTAAACATCATCCAAGGAATGATATAATTTCTTGATTCACATTAGACTTGCTTTATAAATGTTTTCAATTAAAGTATATTTTTTTAAAAATTAAAAAATTATATATTTAGCCTTAAATTTAAAAAGTAACTAGGGTTTTAAATTTATTATATGTATTGCCACTATTACTCTTATTATATTTGTCCTTTCTAATTGATTGCTGATTTTGAGGTTCAAATCATTTTAATTGACTTTCAATTTTCCTTTACTATCACTAATTCTTTTTAAACCTTTATTCTCACTCTAATTAAATCACAATCCATCAATGTGATGTACTTTATGCATTTTATTAACTACCAATGATTGTTGACATTTTTATAATATCTCATTTATTAATTTTAAAATTAACTTTTTTTTCTCTAAAAATAATGTAGACTAAAAGTAATAACAAGATCAATGTAGGTTCAATAAAAAATTACAAAATTAAGTTTGACATTCAAATTATTGACAAAAATAGGTTAGGTATTGCTCAAAGTCAAAAATTGCATACAATGAATATGATTAAGATGTTGACACGTTACGTCATATATAAGGTGATTATTGGAAAATGAATCAGCAAGGGAAGTCGCGTATATTGTACGCGATTTCTATTAATGAAAATCCTGTACAACGTACGCAATTTTCATTTATGAAAATATATATAACAGAAAATACAAATTGAAAAAGAAAATACTTAAAATGTATAGAACAGTAAAAATAAAATAATCATAAAAGATAGAAATGCATACCAACACAAATTAATTTTGGAAGAATAAATTATTAAAAGAAAATCTTAGAATTAAAAAGAAAAAATAAGTAAATAATTTGGAAAAATGATGGGAAATCGCATCCATTTCATTCTGTGACCGATGTGGCTCTAGACTTCCCTTTAAAATCATGGCCACGGCCGCGATTTTCCTCTAAACTACAGTTATTCGATGCGTTTTATTTGAAATTGCAGTTAAATGGCTGCAATTTTCTTGCTTTAATTTTGTAAATATTTTTTAAATTACATTATTCATGTCATTACTTTTTAAAAATACTTTAATTTAAAAACAAAAATAGGTCTTACTTTTCCATTTCAAGATTGAAAGATCAATATTTACCTAATTAATCAACCATTACTTGTAATTTAAACACACTTGGTGAATGAACGATGGTTATTGTCAAGATTGAAAATTGCTTCGATAATTTGAAATAAGTCTTTTTTAGTATGTCTTGTATTTGCTCCTACGCTTCTTTAAATAACATCGTATAAAATTATCCTACACTTCTTTAAATAACACGGTATAAAATTATTCACCCTTAGAATTACTCTAGAATAAGCATACTTAATTATTAAGTTTCTAACGGGGAGTTATCATACGAAAAAAAGGCACGCTATTGGTAAAGAATTACTGTCATCTTTAAAATGAGAGGAAAAAAAATAAAGAATTATTGTATATTAAATGATAATTAAACTTTTAGTATTTTTATAATAATTTTATTCGGATATCAAACTAAGACTTACTTGACACGTCTAAGTGACTAGTCAAACAAAAATAACAAAAGAATCTTTAGCCCTTTCTAAAATATTTCTTAACATGGTCATTAAAATTTAATGACTTTTTTTAAAAAATGACAATGACTTAAAGGTCTAGAAATCACAAGTTTTTAAAATTAACTTAATTTGATTGGTATAACATAACTTTTTGCCCCCAAAAAGAGATTTGTTATTTTTTTAAATTCTCACACACTTTATTCAAATTGCACAAAAAAGGGAAAAAGGAAAGGAAAAAAAATGGTTATGTTTGTGTTGTTCCATCAATTGACTATCAAAGGACTAAGGGGAGACTTGACTTCCTTTCAATCCAATCGCCCACTCATCTAATTTTCTAAAACTAAGATGTTATGTTTAACTTATATAGATTGATGTTAACAATTAAAGCACAAAATAAGTATAATTCAAAATATTGAGAGGTAGTTGGGGGAGAAAATTCCATAATAAATCAAAGTAGAGGGCACGGAGATCAAAGTAGAGGACACGAAGACCATTGTAGAGCTTATGAAAGGAACTTTCAAAGACTTGAGATCGTGGAGATTGATTTGGGAATGGACAACCGATGTGATACTGTCACAATTTATTTATACTATGAAGATTTATTTCTTCTCATTTCCTTTGACCTTTTTTTTGTACTTTTCTTACGAATTTTAGCATGAGATTTTGTGGTTTATTTGTGATAGTGAGTAGCTAAGTTTCTTATCCTTAGGAATTGAGCAACCGATTGTTTAATTTTATTGATTGAATTATTTTAAATATTCTATTTATGTTTTTAGTCTACTAGTCATATGTTTCATTAGTCTTAGACCTAAAATCCTAGGTTAGAGAGGTGAGGTGATAGATTGAGAGATTTATAACTTCTTCAAGACTTGTTTATTAATGCCTTGCATTTATTGAAACTAGAATACGAATGTTGGTTGAGAGGGAGTTGAGAATCGATAGTCCATTAAGTCGTGAGTAATTAATTAATTGGTTCATAGATTAAGTTGCTGAAATTAATTCCGTAGAACATTGCTCGTATTAATTTTCTCATTATTTTGCGGTTCACTGATTTGCATTGATTTCTTATTTCATTTTGATTTGATTCACTCAATATAATTGAGCAATTGTATATATATAATACTCGAGTGAGCTAGAAATTCAATTAAGAGGACGACATTCGTATTCATTTAATTATCATCCTATTAAAACTTGATTCGCACTTGCGGTAAACAATTTCTACTACAATTATCCATGTTGTTACCCTATTAAATATGTTAGACCTTCTCTATTAACATGATAATGAGTTAGTGTTTTATATTCAACTGATTATATTATGTTTTAAAACTTAATAAAAAAAGTTGTTATGGGTTAAATAAACGAGACTCGACAAAAGGATAAGAGGACGAACTTAGGCCGAATATAAAAATGCCCAATTACACGAGTCGACCAAGCAGAGGACGAGAGACCCAGATCAGCTGGGCCGACCCCTGCTCTGTGCCGAGCAGTTCTCGGCTGTGGGTCGAGAACTCCTATCAGTTCCTTCCGACCATTATACATAGCCCAGCTTAAATGGACCATGGATTCGACACCGACCAAGAGTGGGGCAAGCCCAGTAGAGAATATATCCACAACCTTAGAGGTATGCTCACAATACCCTACACTTTATGCTCAACTACTCCGATCATAACTTAAGTATCGGAGTCCAGGTGACAAGAGCCACACCCGTCTTAGTGCTATTATGTTTTACAAGTCTCGTCGATTCCTTTATTCTAGAAGATTGGTGAGAACTTGACAGAATCTCAGCATTAAAAAAAGTCATTCTCAAGTTGATAAAACACCTATAATTATGCAAAACATCCATGGTTAGATTTCTCACTCGTACCAATGTTAATTAAAAATATATATATATATATATATAGAAAAGAGAAGTGAACTTTTGATCGAGTAAAAAATAATCTAGTGATTTTTTTAGTTACAACAATAATCTAATCATGTTTAACCATATTATAACAACTAAATTAAAGTGTTTAAAATCATTGAGGCAATATTAGATTAAGTTCAAGTTCAAGAAAACAAAGTTAGAACTAAAAAATAAACATTAGAAAAAAAAAAACTGGATCCTCAACCATGAGGAAAAAAAATGTCCAGACGCTTAAGTAGTAGTAGTCAAGTTGATAACTATATTCAAAACGCAAGAAAACAGAAGAAAAACTTGATAAGTATGAATCTAGTCGGTTGGTCCCGGAAAGTTTTATAGTTTATAAGTAAGTTTGGTCTCGTTCCTTTTTTTTTTTATTATTATTTTA